ATATCGATGCCTTGAAAACAGTCCCCATTACGGAAGGGGAGGTGCTAGAAATCTTAAAAAGCATAATCATAGAATCTCTACAGCTTGGAAGCAGGCCATTCAGCCCATCCAGTCCACACTACCTCTCTACACAGCATCCCACCCAGACCCACCCTCCCACCTTACCCCTGTAACTCTGTATTTACCATGGCTAATCCACCGAACCTGCATATCCCTGGACACTAACAGGCAACTTAGCATGGCCAATCCACCTAACCTGCACATCCCTGAACACTACAGGCAATTTGGCATGGCCAATCCACCTAACTTGCACATCTTTGGACTGTGGGAGGCAACTGCAGCACCCAGCAGAGACCCTCACAGCCATGGGGAGAATGTGCAAACTCCACACTGACAGCCACCCAAGGCTGGAATCAAACCCAGGTTTTTGCTGTGTGACTCTATGACTCTAAGTTAAGAAATCTTTCTTTCATGAACACATCAAGGTCAATGTTATGAATACACTCATTCACCATCAGGCCTTGCTAGCTGAGAATACATACCAGATTTGGTTACACTCCCCATGAGGTTTTGTTCACCATTGACTTTTAAGCCATAATAATCAGTTGTTTACAGCAATGAACTGTTAAGGATATCCTTGCAAAAGTCAATGATTACAGGTTCACAACTTACTTCCCAATCTCACAGGGTTGCAAAAATCCACTTGTGTAGTAAAGCAGAAATTGTTGGAAATATTAAGCAGGTGTCTAGCAGCATCTGTGGGAATGAAATACAGTTAATAGGCTGAATTTTCCTGCCCCATGGAACCAGGTTTGTGAAAGTGTGGGGAAACCCCACCAGGATGGTTCCTGAACACTGACCTGCCTCTAGGTGACTTTACGGGGAATGGGAATTAACAGTCTGTAGAACAGAAGCCAATTAAGGCCTTAATTAAGACTCAGTGTGGCAAATTCTCTGGCGCCACGTGTCCACATTTCCCCAACACTGCAAGACCACGATGCATTAGGACTCTAAAAACTGTGACACGGCCTCTTGCAGAAGGTCAGCCAAACATGATGGCTAAACTTAAGTGATAGCAGAGGGGCATCACTTTTAGAGGGGATCTTGTGATGCAATGGTAGTGTCCCTATTTCTAAGCCCAGAAAGTCTGGGTTCAAATCCCACTTAGTATTATGATGTTCATTGCATATCCAAACAGATTTGTAGAAAAGCATAAAAATAGGGAGCTTCAGTTCTCACAGGTTCAGGAATGTAAACAGGCAGTCCTGTGGAAGACTTATACTCCCCCTAGAGACCCCTCCTTGTACCTTGTTTTCTTATTCAATGCTGAAGATGGAGGCTTTTGTGAGCAACTCCATTTTGAGATTCTCCTCGGCTCTCAGTCTTCTCAAGCATCACTCAGTTCTCCTGATGGATCTGACATCCAAACATTGCTGCGGCCCTTCCTGATGGGTGTCCCACTTCCCTGCCTTCAGCTACAATCAGCTGACCAACCTGATGGCTACTGAGGAGCCAAATGTCATGTAAAGTATTCAGGCAGCCATGCTTGTGCATTTGATCCTGTTGTCAGGGTCCCAGTACCCATGGAAAAAATTTATCCCAACATTCACAGTCTGTCACCCCTCATCATACCAGTTGTGTTGAAAGATCACAAATCTAAAATGTTAACTCTGTTTCTCTCTCCACAGATGCTGCCAGACCTGCTGAGTTTCTTCAGCACTTTCTCTTTGTACTCCTGCTGTATTCTGTTTGTTATGATTTTCACAAAGTCAAGGCAACAATAGGAAAAAGGCACTTATGACTTTATGAATCATTCTATCTTGGACGATTATCACTCATGCAGTTCTCGTGCTCTGCTAACAAGTATCACGAGTCTTTTCACTTCATTGTTGTTCTGCTATAAAAATGTCCAGACTTTTTTACTCCCAGTGGTTCCAAGGCTTCTATTTATTCACATTTACATTGGCTGTGTTAGGTTCAGCATTTTCAAGTTGAAAGTTTGTAAATTCCAGAACTGATTTTCCCCCTCTCGGACCTCCTTGTTTCTCCCTACACACCCTGCAGGCATTTGTTTTAGTGAAAGAGATTTAACTCCTGGGCTTTCAGAAACACCTTGGCCAAGGTGTTGAATTCTTAATTCTGCAGTGTAAATGTTCTATGATTGTTCAATTACTTCGGCATCACAGTGAAATATTTTTCAGATTTCCTCTCATAGTTTTACATAAAACCTCATTACGTTTCATGGGTAGCAAGCCATACACTTTCTGTGTTGGAGGGTGGAGCTTGCAAGGTTATCAGAACTCAATATTTTTCTCTATTTATTGTCTTGCTTCAAGGCAATTGAGACCTAATTGCTGTATTAAACCATACCTGCCAAAAAAATCATATAGCTTCCCTTGCAGGACCACCAGACAGGGCCATGAGAAACCTGGTACCTTACATTGAACAAGTGGTGCTATCCTTGCTGTTCCTGGCACTGCAAGGAAATTGTGGGTGTCCCATGCAATGGACAGTACCCTCCTTGCCATTCTTAGTAGATTTAAGCAAAAATCCATCCTGCAGAATGTAATTTAGCGAAATTCCTGGCTGTTACTTCCAGGTACTTCCTAACTCTTACTAGATCATATGCCCCAATGCCCAGCCCAGGCAGCAGGGTGGTTAAAACAGGCACCAAATTGCTCACAGCTTTATTTTCAAGTCTACTGCCGAATCAACACTATTTTTTTCTGTGTATCACCATTGCTGCTGTTTACTTTCCTGGTTTCCCTATTTGACTCTGAACATTGCTGCTATGTAAAATCCGAACCATGGCCTAAGCAGCTCCTATGATTATTGCTGCTCTGTGTAACCAAAGCTGTTTGTAGGTCAGTTAAGATTAAAAGGAATTTAGTAGCTTATGCTCACTGCTGGAAGCTTGGGACATCAGACTTAGTGACAAATCTGGTTCAGACTTTAGCTGAACCAAAATATCGCAAGTGAGCATCTGCTTTATTTTCCGTTTCATTTCACATTTATATCTATGGTACTAATAATCTGTGTAGTAATGAGCATTATGAGTAGTTGTGAAGTTTGTCCTCTTTTATTTAACTGAACATTATTGTCTTTGTTTGATCAGCGCTGCAAAAATGGCGCATATACTTTTGTTTAGGTAAAAGTTGATTCTACAGCTTGTGCACCTTTTTAAAAGTGCTGCCAGAGTTTCCTCATACTTCTTGATTATTTCTGTGAACTGTCACCTGTCACTTGCCTGTGAGAGCCAGTCAGTTGTGGAAGGGTTTCTTGGATGATGGTGGGCATGCTCAGGATGGTCAAGGAAGAAATGGAAAGTGTGCCCAGTGTACCACCCTATGTCACACACCCTTGCTGATGGGATTGAACTTTTTCTGACACCATTCTGTCATATGGAGATTGAGGCAATTGACTGGGGAACTTCCTCTGTGACACAAGTGATACATTTGAGTGACTTAAAGGAATTGTATTCAGGTTTCTGTACTTCCTGTCTTCATTCTCCTCTAGGAGGATAGGGAGTTTTAACTTTTGATATTCTTCCCCTGGATGGTACCCTGACCTGTTTTCCTTTGTAGAAATAGAGCTTGCCTGCATTAATGCTATTCAATTTTAACAAAATAGGATGGATAATGCAGTGAGGTTAATTAAGAGTGAAAGAGCCAAGCATCATTTCTCTTATCCATTTGTCTCCTTATCAGTTGCTGATATGAGTGCATCATACTTTTTTTGTTATAGCTGCACAGCTCCGATGTGTACCCATTTCCCATGAATTTACACATGATCTACAAAAATAGCAATGCAAAAAAAAACATTGATCAGTACAGCACAAATGGAAGGTGTACAGACATTGGTGCTGTTGTTGACTGTTTGAAAGAACTCTCCAGCTATTCCCACTTTCCTGCTCTTGCCCTGCAGCCTTGGGTGGCTTGTTTAAATGCCTCTGTTGGGCAAAAAGTTTGTTTCAATAGGACGGAAGTGTTGTAAACCAAAGTGTGGAAATTCCAGGCTTATGTCTGTGCATATTTATGAATTGATATCCACTTGAGATTTCCACCTGTTGCTGAATAATAGTTTTGTAAGTACCTTCCTTCTGTTTATGTATACAATAAAATGACCTCTTTGGTGTTGTAAAAACATCAGTACTGCCATGTCACAAGGGAACTATTACTAAAAATTGCATTAAAACTAATAGCTTATTTTTGTCCTTAAAACAGATAAAATTCTTCAATTATCTGACCCATATACATAATTGTAATATATACACTTGCCCTGTAATCATGCACAGCAAACATTACAAGTTAACAGATGACTATTAATTTGTCGCTTTGAATGTGATTTTCTTCTGTTGAGCCCAGTAATGCTAACATACAATCGCTGAAATTATATCTTACTTCATGCAAGATCATACCTGACCCAAAGATAAATAATTAATACCATTAACTTTCATATTACGAAATTCCTGACCCAGATCCACAGTTGTATTCATTTAACTGTAATCCTAACTATAAATCTTATGCAAATATTTCTGCACATGCTGATCTTAGCCCCTTCATAAACATAAAAATAAACACATCATGCTTTTGATCTATTTTGAGTTACTTTGGACAAGCTATAATGTGAAAGGAGCCATGCCTGTGACTTGCATGACAGTTACTTCTAACTTGTCTTCAATTGACACCTACATGGTCTCTAATTTTCAGTCCGAGTTCCACAGGATATGTGTCTCTAGCACATGTGGGTGCGTGCAATTGGAATGAGAGGCCTTATTTGCAAAATTAGCTTTGCCACACCTGATCTAAGGTAATTAATAGAGATTAAGCTAATTTTGCCTGTTTTGTTTGAGTTTTATCCTTTGAAGAATATACAAGAAGTATTAGGAAAGGTTTGGAGGGACATGGGCCAGGAGCAGGCAGCTGGAACTCGTTTAGTTTGGGATTATGTTTGGCATGAAGTGGTTGAACTGAAGGGTCTGTTTCTGTGCTGTACAACTCTATGACTGTGAGATGGATGAAATGCTTTCTTTTTACGTGGATCTGGTGAGATCCAACACGCAACCAATCCGGTATTTGGTCTTTCCACCCAAATAGGCAGAAGCTCTAACTGTGGTAAATTTATAGAGGAACTGGGATTGGGACTGCCTTCTGCAGAATGTTGAAGATTGGGTGTAAAGGAACGATCTCTGATGTCATGGTCAGGAGCAGGTAACCTCAGAAAACATTCCTGACTATAAAACGGAGGGTGTTTGACTTATTTCTTGGGGCTCTCGTATCTTTCCAATGCTTATTGATAGTCGGCAAAAAGTCAGAAAAAAAAGCATAGACTTAATCAGAAAACAAAACAAAGATTTGTTTTAAAAGATAGAGCTAGGATACTTTAATGCTTATGGCAAGCTATTACCGAGATCCTGACGGATCCATAACATGAATCTGGGGGAAGCTAACAAGTGTAAAGCTGGAGAAGCTATGTATTTGTCATAGTTTATAAGCTACTGGGACTTTCCACATCTCCCCACATCAAAATCTCCCTCTCCTCCTGCTATGTGTTTAACTTGACCTTAACCTTCCCCTCTAAGGCGCTGATCTGTAATTTAGTGGCTTGGATTTGTTTTGTAATCTTTTTTTGAATTAATACTCAGCAGGGACACAGAAGGAGCTGGATTTGGGGCGAGGGACCATAGCAGACAGATTGCTGGCAGGACCCTTACTGTCCTGGTCCATTTTTCTACAAAATCTTTGGTAAGTATCCCAGCGCTTGAAATCCCAATTTATTAAATGTCACTGTTTCCTAGAATTCAAACAGGCGAGCTGACTCCTGCTCCGGGCAAAGGGGAATTTCTTTGCTATTCAGATGTTGAAAACAAACTTTGAAACGTCTCGTTTTATTCGCGAATGTTAGGTGGTCGGATTTTGGCGCATTTTCGTGGTTCTTATCACGTGAAATGTTGTTTTCTCTCCTGGGAATTGTTCTGTCAGTTAATACCTGCCTTCTTTCTATTTGGCCAGAGGTGCCTAGTTTGACGGTTGTCAAAAACGATGGGCCGCAAGGAGGAGTGTGTTTGCTGGAAGAAACAGACCCTGAACATCACCGACAGTTTCCAGTTAATGGAACGGCTGGGGTCGTAAGTAGTTTCGCTTTGAGACATGTTTTGGGAATGCACACTAAACTGCAGTTACAATGGAAGCACTCACCAGGTCAAAGATGCGGAAAGAGAAACGTTGTAGGTCCGTGAACTTTCTCGGAGTGACGTGAAATGTAAACTCCACCGAAGCTGCCACAGCCGCCAAGTGTTCAGCCTGAAGTCATTGGGTACAGTTCGGGTATAATGACAGGGACAATGCAGGGAGCTCCTGTTCAACTCCTGGGAAATGTACCTACTAGTATTTAAAAACAGGGGAGGCATGCATTCGCCATGACAGTACCCTAATTTTAGCCCCATTATTAATAGGTTATACATAGAAGGGCAGATCTACCTTGAATTTTGTTTAATAGACAATATCATGTAACCCTTCCAATGAAAAATATATTACTTCATCAGATAGTTGATTTTTCTAAAAACCAAAATAACTACGGATGCTGTAAATCAGGAACAAAAACAAAGTTGCTGGAAAAGCTCAGCAGGTCTGGCAGCATCTGTGAAGGAGAAAACAGAGTTAACGTTTCGGGTCCGGTGACCCTTCCTCAGAAGTTGATTTTTCTGTTTTGCTTCTAAAACGAATATAGGACTTTTCAACTGCTTTCCACTTTACTAATGATGAGTCAGTCAATTTATAAGGGCTTAGATTCTGTGTGCTTGATTTGTACACAGGTTTATCTGTGTATATTTCCAAAGTCCTGTATAAAACTGGGTTGTACATTTCTATCTACCACCATCTGGTATGTCACGCGTATGTCCTTTTCTGGGAGCCAGCCTTGCCACTTGTCAGATACAATCAGTCCCCTGAGACCAGCACTCTATCTGTGTAGCAACAATCCAGTGATGATGTTAATGCAAAATCCCTGCTCTCAGTTTTTTCTCTCCAGTACATGAAATTCAAAGATCTTAACCATATTTTGGGTACTATTACAAAAGCAGAACCTTTTTAAACACAACTATTCTCAGTGCGGAGCAGGGAATTTATGGCAACTGATTATTTCCTGACAAACCTGCATTAAGGATGTCAATAGCTGTTTATATTCCTGTTTAATGTTGCTGTTAATCTCGAATTAACAGGTTCGTATGTCATCCCAGACAACTGCGAATTGACCAAAAATATTAGTTGGCATGGTAAAAGAACCCAGACATGTGTTGTGACAGACAGATATGCCTCTTTGTAGGATACATGGAACAATCCCTCTTCCGAAGCTACACTGGCCCTATCCCCCACCTCTTCCTCCGTTACATTGATGACTGTATCGGCGCCGTCTCGTGCTCCCATGAGGAGCTCGAACAGTTCATCCACTTCATCAACACCTTCCACCCCAACCTTAACTTCACCTGGACCATCTCTGATATCTCTCTCTCCTTCCTGGACCAACTCTGTTTCCATCTCTGGCAACTACCTGGAAACCAATATCCATTTCAAACCTACCGACTCCCACAGCGACCTAGAATACACCTCCTCCCACCCACCTTCCTGTAAAACTGCCATCCCCATTCCCAATTCCTTCGCCTCCGCCGCATCTGCTCCCTGGATGAGGCATTCCACTCACGGACATCCCAGATGCCCTCGTTTTTCAAGGACCGCAACTTTCCCCCAACAGTGGTCGAAAACGCCCTCGATCACATCTCCCGCATTTCCCGCAACTCACCCCTCACACCCGCTCCCCGCAATAACAACCAAAACAGGATCCCCCTCGTCCTAACGTACCACCCCACCAACCTCCAGATCCAACGCATCATCCTCTGACACTTCCGCCATTTGCAATCCGACCCCACCACCAAAGACATTTTTCCCTCCCCACCCTTATCTGCTTTCCGGAGGGACCACTCTCTCCGTGACTCCCTTGTCTGCTCCACTCTCCCCTCCAGCCCCACCATACCCAGCACTTTTCCCTGCAACCGCAGGAAGTGCTACACCTGCCCCTACACCTCCCCCCTCACACCCATCCCAGGCCCCAAGAAGACCTTCCACATCAAACAGATGTTCACCTGCACATCTGCCAATGTGGTATACTGTATCCGCTGTTCCTGATGTGGCCTCCTCTACATCGGGGAAACCAAACGGAGGCTTGGGGACCGCTTTGTGGAACACCTATGTTCGGTTCGCAACAAACAACTGCACCTCCCAGTCACGAACCATTTCAACACCCCCTCCCACTCCTCAGACGACATGTCTATTCTGGGCCTCCTGCAGTGTCACAACGATGCCACCCAAAGGTTGCAGGAACAGCACCTCATATTTCGCTTGGGAACCCTGCAGCCCAATGGTATCAATGTGGACTTCACAAGCTTCAAAATCTCCCCTCCCCTGACTGCATCCCAAAACCAGCCCAGCCCCCCCGCCTCCCTAACCTGTCCTTCCTCCCATGTAACCCCTCCTCCCACCTCAAGCCCCACGCCCATCTCCTACCTACCAGCCTCATCCCGCCCCCTTGACCTGTCCGTCCTCCCTGGACTGACCTATCCCCCCCTAACTCGCCATCTACACTCACCTTTACTGGCTCCACCCCTGCCTTTTTGACCTGTCTGTCTCCTTTCCACCTATCTTCTCCTTTATCCATCTTCTATTCGCCTCCCCCTCTCTTCCTATTTATTTCAGAATCCCCTTCCCCTCCCCCATTTCTGAAGAAGTGTCTTGACCCGAAACGTCAGCTTTCCTGCTCCTCTGATGCTGCTTGGCCTGCTGTGATCATCCAGCTCTACAGTTGTTATCTCAGATTCTCCAGCATCTGCAGTTCCTACTATCTCTGAATGTATTTTTCCTTAGTTTCTTTAAAATTCTGCAGGTGTTATTAATAAGCTGCAACCCAAACCTAATCTTTTATTGACTGCTGAAAAGTATTCTACCATTGTTTATGAATTAATATTAAAATTAAAAGGTTACAGGTTCATTCTGCCCTCTTTACTCTCGTCCTTGACTTTGAATCCACTTCTTATGCCTGTTGGATGTTTCCATTTAATTCTGTGGCAGAAGGACTTTGTCACTTGTCTTAATTACTTACCAGTTTTGCCCACAAATAATAATTCATAAGATAAAAAAATTGATATGCAGTACAGAAAACAAATTATAACATTCTTTGACAGGATGTAGGTGTTGCTTTACTAGCATCTGTTGCCCATCCTAATGCCGTATTAGGCCTTTTCACCTTCCTATGGCTCTGGAATGTCATGTAAGCCAGACTAGATAAAGATGGCAGATTTCTTTCCCGAAAGAACATTAGTGAATTAGATGGGTTTTACAACAATTTTATAACAATAACTTTACCACTGTCATTAGTAAGACTGATTTTTCAATTTCAGATTTTATTACTTGAACTTAAATTCCACCAGCCAGCAAGATGGGATTTAGGAACAAAAACAAAGTTGCTGGAAAAGCTCAGCAGGTCTGGCAGCATCTGTGGAGGAGAAAACAGAGTTAACGTTTCGGGTCCGGTGACCCTTCCTGCCAGATGCTGCCAGGCCTGCTGAGCTTTTCCCGCAACTTTGTTTTTGTTCCTGATTTACAGCATCCGCAGTTCTTTTGGTTTTTATTTTTTATTAAGATGAGATTTAGAACTCACATCCCCAGGAGAATCTGGATTACCAGTCTAGTAACGTTACCATTACACCACCATTTTCACTTAAATGTAAATATGTACGCTAGAAGCTATTAAACATTGATTCAAATAGATCTGCTAGGATGCAGAAACAGGCAGTCATTCAATAAGGGCTACAGGATATGGTTATATGTTGCTGTGAGATATTGTAAATGCATGGCTATAGGAATATTGAAGGTATATTTTTCTAAGATGGTGCAGTGTCAATATAGGGTAAGGAAAATTGTGTCTAAAAAACATCTGCCTGAGTCGTTCTTTACAACTTTTGTATTCATGTTGCTATTGAAGGAAGGCTAGGAAGTCCTGACAATGTATTTTTATGTGATGAAAGTAACAGTTTATTATTCTGCAAAGACTGGTTTGAGTGTCATCTCGAGTAGTAGATTACAAAATGATTGATATGAGTAAAATGAGCCCTCAGAACATTTGAGAAGTATTTAGATGAGCAGTTGAAATGCCACAGCTTATTCTAATGGGATTAGAATAGATAGCTGCTTGTTGCCTGGTATGGACGCAATGGGCCAAAGGGCGCTGTTGCCACTGTTCTCATATAATCCTGGTGTCATCTATAAACTCTTTATGTAAAAGTAATGAAGGACTGATAAGGAATGAGCCAGCATGGCTTTGTGCATGGGAAATCATGTCTCACAAACTTGATTGAATTTTTTTGATGATGTAACCAAAAAGATTGAGGACAAAGGGGTAGATGTTGTCTACGTGACTTTAGTAAAGTCTTTGACAAGGTAGACATAATAGACTAATTAGTAAAGTTAGGGAGAGCTTGTCAATTAGATACAAAATTGGCTTGACTGTAGGACACAAATGATGGTGGTGGAGGGTTTTGTTTTATACTGGATGCCTGTCACCAGCGGTGTTCCCCAGCTGTTGGTGCTGGGTCCACTTTTGTTTGTCATTTCTATAAACAATTTGAATGAGAATAAAGGAGGCATGATTAGTAAGTTTGTGGATGATGCTGTAGAGTCCACCGTGAAGAAGATTTCTAAGATTTCAAAGGGATCCTGATTGAGCCAATGGGCTGAGGAGTGGCAGATGGAGTTTAATTTGGACAAATGTGAGGTATTGCATTTTGGTAAAATGAACAGGGACAAGACTGATACAGTTAATGGTAGTGCCCTGGGTAGTGTTGTGAACAGAGAGATGTGAAGGTTGAGGTACATGGTTCTTTGAAAGTTGTGTCACAGACAGGGTGGTTAAGAAGGCATTTAGCATGTTTGCCTTAATTGCTCAAACAGTTGAGTGTAGGAGTTGGGATGTAATGTTGAGATTGTACAGAATGTTGGTGAGGCCACTTTTGTAATACTGTGTACAGTTCTGGTCACTCTGCTGTAGGAAGGATATTATTAAATTGGAGATGGTGCAGAA